TTTTTTTTTTTTTTTTTTGTCAGTTTTGCTTTATTATGTCTTTAAATCTCATGAATAGTAGTAGTCCTGATGCCCAAGTGAATGCTGTCTGAAACAGCATCAATACCACTTCCCTAATCCTTACAATCCTTTGGGGTTCTGAGTGTACATATATCAGGGTGAATTACTGGCTGGGATGTGTCTGAATATAGTTCCTGTATTATGACAGTTACAGAGAAATGATCAATAAAATCCATACACGTTTTTGTGCTTAATGCACAAAGGTGATGGAACTTGCATGAGACATTTTCTATGATGTAGAATTTGGAAAATGGAGAGTTCAAGTTAGGATTTGCAACTGTCAGGCATATGTCCACGGAAAATACCTTCTCAGCTGAAAACATATAGCATGCAAGCAAATATGCGGTTATATCTAATCATAAACTTTCCAGCAGTGATACAATAAACCTGTGGCTAGAGAGCTAAAAAAAAAAAAAGAGGAATAAAAGGGATGTAGAGGCTTGGGAGAGACTTTAGAGAGATGGACATCTTCGGTGTCATGGAACTTCACTCCTGAACACCTGAAAGACCCTGGAAGTTTAAACACATATTTGAGACAGGAATGTTGCAGCTCAGGCAGATCTGAGGAGGCACAAATGATTTGGGCCTGGCTAATGCTTATCGGGTCTTATTCAATAGTATCCCAGAGAGGGAGGGAGTTTGTGAAATTGAGAGTGTCTGAGAGCTGAAACGGAGAGTCTCAGGGAGATGGTACAAAATGAGCAAGAGTGTCTCCGAGCTGAGAAAGAAAGTCTCCAAGCTGAAGGGGAAAATCTCCGAGCTGAGAGAAGGAATCTCCAATCTCAATGAGATGCCCTCCGAATCAAGAGAGACTCCCTGCAATCCAAACTCTACACCCTGCAATCTGAACAGGATACCATCCAAACTGAGAGAGGCACCCTCCAATCTGAACTAAATGCTCTCATAACTGAACAAGACAGACTCCAAGCCAAGTGGGAGGGTGAGAGCATTGGAACTGACCAACCTGATCAACCACAGGAGGCACCACAGTTGATGTCAGTTGCCCCTGTAAGGGGACGGAAAATGAAACGAATCTCCACTCTGTTAGAAGAGAAGAAAGAGGAGCAAAGAGGTCCAGAGGAGTGGCTCCAAGATCCAGGAGAAGCACCCCCGAGTCCAGGAGAGGGACCCTCAGTAAGACCACGGTCACCAACACCTATAAGGGCAACAAGAAGTCCTGAAAGAGTAACAGGTGAGCAAGATATTGTTACCATTGTTGATCGATCTCTGAAAATGAATGAAATTCGAAGTCTGAGAAAAGACTTTTCACGTCACCCAAATGAGCCTATTGTCACCTGGTTACTTAGATGCTGGGACAATGGGGCCAACAGTGTGTGGCTAGATAGTAGAGAAGCTCGCCAGCTGGGTGGCGTTGCTAGGGACTCAGCCATTGACAGTGGCATTAATACATGCCAGAACCAGTTCTTCACCCTCTGTAAGCGGATGTTGTTAGCTGTAAAAGAAAGATACCCTTTCAAAGACGATCTGATGCCTGAGAAAAAGAAATGGACTGATATAGAAAAAGGCATCCATTATTTGAGAGAAAATGCTGTGATTGAAACGCTATATAGCCCCAATTTCATTCCTGATGAGCCAGCTCAAGAGCATGATCCTGAGAGAGTCAGGTGTACACCAAATATGTGATGTACATTCACAAAGACTGCACCAGAGAGGTATGCCAGTACATTTGCTGCAATGTATGGCAGAGGGGAAAGAAGATCCCTTATAAATGAACTGATTAATAAACTTCAAGACTTTGAGTTACATTTAAGCCCTCTATGAGCTTGTGTTTCAGCCATTGCAAAAGTCGCTGAAAAGCTGAACAGAATGGAAAGCAAACAAGAAGATATAATAGACTGTCAACCGTGCCTAAGGTTGATGGATCCACGGTGGTAACAGATACATCCAATGGGGATCAGAATTCCCAAAACAGCCTACTGGAGGGGCTGATCAACTTGGTTTCCTCCCAGCCGGTGTCATCCAACATCTCAGCTATCAAAAGAAGACGACGTCCTGCTCGAGCAAGTGACAACATTAAGAGTACGTCGCGTTTCGCTTTGTGGCATTACTTACGTGATTATGGGGAAGATATGAAGAAGAGGCATAAACAACCTACTCCTGTACTTCAAGCACGGGTAAAAGAATTACAAGACAAATCAACCACCAAGGTGAACTTCTCCAAAAAGGTGATTGCTCCAGTTGCTGCAGACAACGGAGGTAACAAATAGAGGTGGCTTTATCTTTACACTGACTCATGAATAGTGGCAAATGCTCTATGGGGGTGGTTACAGCAATGGGAACAGAACAACTGGCAAAGAAGGGTTAAACCTATTTGGGCTGCTGAACTATGGAAAGATATTGCTGCCCAAATAAAGAATATTGCTGTAAAGGTGCGCCATATAGATGCTCACGTGCCCAAGAGTCGGGCTACTGAAGAACAGCAAAATAACCATCTGGTAGACCAAGCTGCCACAATTGAGGTGGCTCAAGTAGACCTAGACTGGCAGAACAAGGTGAATCATTTCTAGCTCGGTGGACCCATGAGACCTCAGGCCACCAAGGAAGAGATGCAACATACAAATGGGCTAGAGACCGAGGGGTGGACTTAACTATGGATGCTATTTCACAGGTTATTCATGACTGTCACACATGCGCCACAATTAAACAAGCCAAGAGGATGAAATCTCTTTGTGGGGAAGGGCAATGGCAATAGTATAAATATGGGGAGGCATGGCAGGTTGATTATATCACCTTGCCACGATCTCGCAGTGGTAAGCGTTACGTGCTTACTATGGTAGAGCCAACCACTGGGTGGCTTGAAACATATGCAGTACCCCATGCTACTGCCCGAAACACCATATTGGGTCATGAGAAACAAGTCCTGTGGCGACATGGCACCCCAGAAAGAATTGAGTCAGATAATGGGACTCATTTCAAAAATTCTCTGGTAAATGCTTGGGCCAAAGATCATGGCATTGAGTGGATTTATCATATCTCTTATCATACACCAGCTTCTGGTAAAATTGAATGCTACAGTGGGTTGTTAAAAACTATGTTGAAAGCAATGGGTGGCGGAACATTTAAGCATTGGGAAAAAGCGGTTTGGGTCTTTCCAGCTTCTGGGAAGGGCAAACCTCTTCGTGGAACTGTTTTTGCCCAGGGACCTGGGTCCACTTGGTGGGTGATGCAGAAAAATGGGGGTGTTCAATGCATACCACAAGGGAATTTGATGTTGGGGGAGTGCAGTCAGTAATTCCACGTGTATATATAGGATTGTGTGTGCGTGTGTTTAGTGTTTGATAATTATATTCTGTTTGTATATGTTAAGCATGATGTAGTGATGTAGAATAAGGGGTGGAATGTCATGGTTTTGTGATTTTTGGTTTTCGGTATTCCACATCATAACATCATGTGAGGCACTGGGAGTTTAACTGTTAATGCTCAAGCTCTGGGTACCTGCCCAGAAGAGAAGAAGAACTACATTCCCCAGGGGACTTAGCGGTCACAGAGAGTCTCAAGATATAACTCCTGGCAAGGTCACCTGATATGCTATTCTTCATCTGCTCTTCTTCGTCGGACCTCCTCCTCTTTCTCCCTGCTGCTCAACTGGACTGCGCATCTCACCTCAGTGTTGTGGTGAGGCCTATCCACCTTTCGGACATTCTCTCTCTCATTATATTTGATTTATTACCTTCAATTCTAATTATACTGTATTATAGTGTGTTATCTTGCATTCCGATACTATATTTAGTAAATTAGTTGTTTCTCTCTCCTCAGATCGTTGCCGCTGTTTTTAATTATTTTGGGGGACCCCTGTTCCCTTTTTCCGGAGGTGCGGATTTTGCGAAATCCCTCTGCCCCGCTAGTCACGGAACCGGGCTGAACCAGCCCGTAAACCGTTGACAAGACCTCTTCACATAACTGGAGAAGAGTTTCATGTTCTCAGTGTTTTCCAACACAGCTAAGAAAATTAGAAAACCTGAATGTATTGATGGCTTAAAGTTGTGTTGTGTGGTTCTGTGGGCCACACGTAGCCACTGACAGAGCTCACGCTAACACTTGTGAAAGTGGCTAAAATAAGTACATCTCCAGGAAGAAACTGCAGGAGGAAACCATGCAAATGGAAATGAAAAAGAAACATCTACACACTGTTTGTCAGTACAAAACATTATGTTTATCTGCCAGTGAAAGCTAACAGAGACTTCATGTAGACAAAATTTCCTGAGAAAAATCATTTTGGGCCTGAAAATTCAAGATACGTGCAAAAAGGTTGCTATATCCAATAACCAATTATCATTTTAGGCGTAGATTCATTATGAATTACTTTTGGATAAATGATCAATAAAATCCATACATGTAAATTTACTTCCAGATTTTGGTTATTACCTTGTTCTAGAAATATTTTTGTGCTTAATGCACAAAGGTGATAGAACTTGCATGAGACATTTTCTATGATGTAGAATTTGGAAAATGGAGAGTTCAAGTTAGGATTTGCAACTGTCAGGCATAAGTCCAGGGAAAATACCTTCTCAGCTGAAAACATATAGCATGCAAGCAAATATACGGTTATATCTAATCATAAACTTTCCAGCAGTGATACAATAAACCTGTGGCTAGAGAGCTAAAAAAAAAAAAAAAAAAAAAAAAAGAGGAAAAAAAGGGATGTAGAGGTTGTGCTTTACAAAATAGCAAATATATTTGCCCCTTGCCAGTATGTGCAATAAATGCAGACTAAGTGTGATTGTTTTTCCAACTTTATTTTGAAATTTTTTAAATCTTGCTTGATGTGCCAGCTTCATTAAATGCATTAATTGCTTGTGGTTTGCAGTGTTTTTTGACTGAAAAATGCCTTTGTTTTAATTGTGCCACCCAGCTGTTAGATTCCAATGTGTAAACAAAATTAAATGCTTATCTCTGTCCCTTCTGTGTTTGATTTAAAGGTGATGATACAATGACAGGAGATGGAGGAGAGTACCTTAGGCCAGAAGACCTCAAAGAACTAGGAGATGACTCTTTACCAAGCAGCCAGTTCTTGGATGGTATGAACTACCTGAGGTACAGCTTGGAAGGAGGGCGGTCTGACAGGTATTTGCCCGGTCACATATCCTTTCTCTTGGTATGAGTGTTTGCAATCCATTCCTCAGTTTCTTTAACTCAAGGGAGACAAGGGATGATGCACTTAATGTTTCTTTACTAAGTATGTCGAGGTGTCAGTTACCAGTTTGTAGGAGGAAGACGTGGTCAGGAGGAATATTTCCTAACCAGTCAAGAAATTAATACATCTGGCACTGATACTGTATTCAGAATCTAGTGAATAATTTGTTTCTGATTCTTAATTGGTTCTTGAAAAAGCGTAGCTTGCTTTATTGTCTTTGTGGTCAGACAAAGGAAGAAGTCTTGTCTTGGAACAGACTCATAAATCATCTTGATCTTCTCTTTACATGAGTCAGGGCTTGTGTGGGAAGGTGAACAGTGTGTGTTAGTGTTAGGTGAGCTAACTTTCTTTTGAGCGTTTTGTGGGAAATTGACAATGTTCACTAAAAAATAAGTTTAAAAAAATGAGGTCTTGGCAACAGAAATAATTTGTAGCCTACATCATTTTCCAGCCTTAGCTGTTACGCTGGCAACATTTCTGAAGCTCAGTGAAATCAGTAGGATCCATTCTGTTTACTTCGGTAGGCTGTGAATTGCTGCAGGAACAAAAGATGTCAGGAAACAGTTCAGTTTGCCTCACAGTATGTGTACATCCCTCATCAGTGAGGTCTTTTAAACTTGCAGCCTTTGTTGGTTTTTAGACAGCTTCAGTGAATCCACTGAAAACAAAGTGACTGTATTGCTTTTTAAGTCTCAGATGATGTTTATGAACTGCATCAGAATGCTTAAAAATCAAAACCTCTTATGATGCTTTTTCAATGGTAAAAATGTTTTTGTGGGGTTTTCATTTTTGTTGTTGTTTTTGTTTTTTAAGAGGTTGAATGAAATGATTGTGCAGCCAAGTGTTAAGCCGGTTTCTGCTCCCATTTAGAACAGTTTAACTTTCAATAAACTGTCAGTGGATTTCAGTAGATTTTCACAAGCATATAATTGTTGTGTCCTACTTAGAATTGAATGAAAATGATTTCACATTGTTTGTCATTCATGGTTATTTTGAAATGAAGCAGAATGATAAAGAGAGAAAGTATGAAAAGAAGTGCATCTTTCTGACTCCATGGTGTCATTCTCTGCCACTATCAGGTTATTGGTTGTAAGAATTTTCAGACACTACTTAAATTATTTTGTTGTTGGTTTGTTTTTTCTTATAATTTTCATTGCATTACACTGACTTTGTTTTTTAAAGAAATTCAGCAAAGCAAAATAGTACTAGCAGCTTCTACTCATATAATCTTGTGCATTAAAATTTGATTTAAAAACATATTATTTTCTTTTGTAACCATCTTCCCTGTTTATTTTATTTCTCTCTCCCCTTCATTCTTTTTCATATGCTTACATAGCACCATGCCCAGGTAGGTATTACATAGCATGAAAACATGTCTCTCTATCCTTTCATGGCACTTGTCTCTCTTCATTCATTTTGAAGGCCTGCTGTGTGCTGGAATGTTAATCTTGAGAACCAAATGAATGATGTTGCTGGTGCAGATGGTTGTGGTCTCGAATGAGTATAATATGCATAGGTGAATACAGATACAAAAGTACTGTCAGTAGGACAGTAGAAAGGTCACAGTATGACATAGCTATTGTACCACAGAAACTCCCCTCAAGTAAGAATCAGGGAAGCTGCACAAGGTCTCAACAGCTGGAAATTTTCCTCTCATCATGCTGCTGGGAAAGTTAGCTGTTTTCATTTTCTACGTGAAAGAACAGTGGTAGAATAAAAAAAATAAAATAGAATGGGCTATAAGTTGGATTCCCTTTTTGGATATGGAGGGCAAGAACCATTTCAGGCCATATGAGTTTATCAGTATTTGAACATACTCTTTTTCAGTGTAGTGTCTTCCACCTTTTGTCCAAGATATCTATGAGGAAACTTTTCAGTCTATAATAGGTATTTTCAAGGCTGATTTATACTGTTTTTCAGTGACACCAGGTTATTTTCCCAGGTTTCTGAAGCACTATACACTTCCCACAGTGATAGACACACTCAGCTGGACTAGAGGTTTACTAGATCTGTCTAGGTGAACAAGTGGATGGGCAAGTAGTGCAGTGTGGTCTTCTAATTATCCAGACTAGAAAGTTTGCTAGAGTATACTGCTTTCCTTTTCTGGATACCATCTGGGGTTTATTCAGGCCTTAGGAGAGGTGAACGATACATGCCTGCACATACTTAAACACAGGCAAGGCATATGGTAAGAGCTTTGTAGGGTTGTTGGGTTTCACAGTTTACTTGCAGTGGCTGAGGAGAGTGCTACTGACTTCTCAAACTGGGACGGAGATGTACAAGCCAAATTTGAATCTGCACTTAGACATTAGTGTTGATTAGGAATCCACTTACAAGATTCCTGAAGAGCTATTACAGAAGTAAACAATTTTTTTTTGTCTGATGACACTACACGTCCTTAACTGGAATGACATTTCAGACAGTTTGTAGATCTCAGAATGACAGACTTCAAACAAACTACTGTTTGTTCTTCATTTAGGTGGTGCAACGCACAGAAGAGGGGCAGTGTTGTCTGAACACTACTTTTGAAATAAACAGTAGAAGTTAACAGTAGAAAATTAAAATTAATTTATTGCAGACCTCAGTCATATTTGTGCGTACCTTGTCTTTTGATGAAGTCCATACCCTCAGAAGTATTGGGTATTTACTGGGGGTAACATAGATGCACTATGTACTGGAAACGTACTATGTTGCTTGTAGTGGTAATAGTAGTAATGTCAGGCACTTGTAGGAGAACATGGACAAAATCACCATACAGATGATCAGTCAATTCTAGTACATATTTCCTCTCATTAATATTACACATTATATTAACTGAATGGCAGAGCCTACAGTTTGACTGGTGAACTTCTTTCCAGCATTGCATGGCACAGCAAAGCAGTTCTGAAAGTGTCAAGCATTGAAGTGGAAAAAGTCGAATGTTGGCAAATGGGGTCTGCTACTGGAGCTTATTTTCCACCCAAAGAACAAATGTTCATTGAAGTACTGTTATTATGAGTAAGCAGCATGTACTCTGCCTACCTAGTTCACACTAAAATGTTTAACCAAAATATCCTACTGTCAAGAGTCCCTTTCACATTGTTTTTTTCTGGAATGAATTTGTGCAGACAGGGTGAACTACTTGAAATCAAAGTAATTTTTGTTTCAATGAAATCAGAATTATATTCCAGAAATGCACAATCCCAGAAATATGCCAAATATCAGCCTTACCTGTCTTACTTCTTTTACTTGTCTGGGGGAAAGACATTACATGACATGTAAAAGAGATTACTTGGTGATTTTATTTTTCTCAAGACTTCTCTAAGGCTGATCTTTGTGTAATGCTTATCTGTGTTTTCAGTATTGTATAGTCCATCTATTATGCTAAGTATGCCATTGGTATCTGCCAGTCATAATAGTGTCGATCATTCTATAGTGTTCAGTGTTACATATTTGTAATAAAAATAAGATTATAATTTTCTTTTAAAGAGGGATTAAAGAAGTGTGGGGGGGGGGAAAGGGAAGTGAAGTTAGCTATTATTCCAAAAGGCTGATTGGTCTGAACCAGATGGGAAAACCTGATTTCTGACATGATCTGCATTTAAGTACTTGAATGTCATCTCCACAGTGTAACTGAGACGTTGTTATTGCTAACAGATGAAAATTAATTATCCCTAAAAAAATCCACTACATTTCTGAATAAATGCTCGCTGTTCTGATCCAGTGCATTAGTCATTATGAGTAGTACTCATGGATGTATAAGCCATGAAAAAAAGGCTACTTCCTTTGGTTTACATGTACTGTATTCACCAGAGTACAGAACAATATCACAAAGTGCACATACATCATCTAAAGGTGGTGAATCAACTCTTAAAAGTCACTTTTAGATGCTCCTGCTAGTGAATGCATAAAGAGCACCAAGCTAGTGCTATTTGATAGCAGAAACCCCATTTACCTCAATATTTCCTTTTGTGGTGTGTTATTTGTCTTTTTGGCTTTTTGCTAGTGAATACTGCAGTTAAATTCTGAGCCAGTGCTTGGAAGCAGCTTATTTACTGCCTTGCATCCGTCATTGCTACAGCAACCAGTTTTCTGTAGAGCTGTATGTACTTAATGAGAAAACAGTGCTGACATTCAGATTGCCTCTCTAAAGATGCTGTTGGCATACAGAGGAAGAATTTTGTCTTACGCAGAAGCTTGTGGCTGGCCACAATTCACTTTGCTGTGTGTACCTTCCAGGGGACAATATCAAGCTTTACTCATTTAAAATTTTAATGGGGTTAGAATAGATCATAACTAAGCTCTAGAAAGTGTCATTTCATATTTTCTTTGGATTTAGTATTCTGTTTTTCTTGCAGATGTAGCAGGAGAGGAACTCTTCCAAAGAGCCTTACTTAAAAGGAATTTGAGTTTCTTATAATTAAGGAAATAATCATGCCACAAAGCCAAGTATAAAGCATTTGTGAATATAAAGTAAACTGTAAAAGTAAATCACCTAGATTAATCTCTAGGTTCTGCATTTGAAATGAATAAAAGTCCGTCCAAATGCTTTGTGGCCTTTAGTCAGAAAAATAGCTTAACAGATTTGTAAAGCTCTATTTTTTCCCCTCATGACTACTATAAACTCCCCCTGGAAGCTGCATCATATTGCTAATTGCACGCTTTTTTTCATTCTCCCACTTGATCTATCATCACACCTTTGCAACATCATCTGTACTGCTGATCTATTGCTATGGCATCCTACCAACCTACCAGCCTGCGATCCTTCAGTTCAGACAGGTCTCACACACTGAGCCATGCCTCCTATCTGAGGGACAGTGCCATGATTGACGACACTGTTGTAATCCCTAGCCAGCAGGTAAGCACGTTCTCTTAACTTCACATTTTGTTTGGGCAAATATGGAAATACACAAAAATTACTGTTTAAATTGTACAGAGAACACAAGTATGTGCTGCTTTATCTATTGTAATATAAATATCTTTAATTGCAGTTGATACTTAATGTCATATTATACTATGCAATAGTAAGCTCTATTCCAAAATAAATGACTATGCTGTACTAATATAAGACAAAGACAATAACGTTCTCCATTTTACCATACTAATAGCCATTGGGCCCAAGAGTTGAGTGATCCGATGAACTCAAAGCCACTGTCCTCAAAGTTACTATCCTGAAGCATACCTTAAGTTAAAAAAAAATGATTCAGGAAATGCCACTTCAATTAATCACAGTGTTTATTTCAGTGGGGCAATTATTACTTTGGGCAAGCATAAAATTTTATAATAAGGGGTTTCTAATATCATTTTGCTACTATAGTTTGTTTACTTCAGAAAAGAATTCAAGCACTGTAGGTAGTACTACGCAAAATGCCTCTTCTTATTGTTTCATTGATTGAGTTAATTGTAGTAAAAAACAACAAACAACACATTTTTTTGGTTTACCAAGGTAACTACTCTGGCCAAAGAAGCAGAAAGGAATTCATATCGCTTAAGCTGGGGGCCTGAAAACTTGGACAATGTGGCTCTTTCTTCCAGCCCTATTCATTCAGGGTAAGTGTATCAATTAGCATTGTCTTAAAATTAAAAAAAAAAAAAAAAAAAAAGAGAGAAAGAAAGAAAGGGAGAAAGAAACAATGCCTTCAATGGCAGTAGTTTTAACAGATTCTTAACTAAGAGTTGTTCTTTTAAAATCTCTAAGAGAAGTCAGTAAATTGTTACAGTCACTTAAGGTCTGGCAACCATGAATACCAAGACTACCTATCCACTGAAATCACTGAAATCCAGTGAAATGGTGCAAGTTAGCTTTCTGTCAAGTTCCAGAGGAAAAAGATAATTGTCACATACACATGTGCATCTCTGTGAGTTTTATGGGAAAAAGTCATTTTTAAAGTTAGTAATAACTGAAGCCACAGGGCTCATCGGTCTTGGTGGCAAAGTACTATCTGTGCTAATTAAGTATGTAAACACAAACTCTAGTGCTTGTCAGAATTATTAATTAAAAACAAAACAACAACAAAAAAAACATAGAGGACTTTAAATTACACAAAGTGTGTAATAGACAGGCACAATAAACATTACATGGCTTACGCATATTTGGCTACTGTATACATATGTTCTCACAATTGACTTTCTCTAAGCATTTGCCTTTCTGCCAAAACCATTGAAATGTAGTGAGACAGGTCAAAATGTTGGCTCAGTCAAACTCTTACTAATAAAGCTTATCATGGTTGGCCTCAAAATCTGTGTATGCATTTAAGTTCTCTTGCTTACTGTGTTTGGAGTAATTTTATTTTTTACACTGAGTTTGATACTTGTGCCAAGAGATTTGATGAAATGTGCAGATGAGTTAGTTACAAACATGCAATACAAAAAATTTGTATTTCTGTGGAGCTGTGTAGTATGCAGAATGGCTGGACATGACAAAATGAAAGATTTTTTGTTAATCTCAAATTAGTTTGCAGTCCATATCTTTCAAAGATAATACTAGAGTCTCATCTGGAATGGCAAGCAGTTCTGGGCTAGAAGAGGAACAATAACTGAGAGTGCAAATTGACTGATCTATGGCATATATGAGGAGTTTGTTAGCTGGTTGTAGGATATTTGGATGTGGCCAGTGTTGTTTGGATATGCTTTTTGAGCTCTATAACTAACAAATGAAATGACTATGCTTAACTTGTAGAGTATACATGTTATTATCAATGCCAACATGTAAGCTTTAAAATTGGTTTTGTGTTTATTCTAACTCTAAATAGTTTACAGACTTTTTCCAAAGGACGTATTTCTTTTCAGTTACAGCAAGGTAGGTCTTCCTAGTGATTGCAGAGGATGAACTCTTTCTAGATGAGTACAATTTATTTCGTGATAAAAAAAAATATTAGTGGTTTAGATCTTTTTTGATGACAAGGATGCTGTTCTTAGGATAAGAATATCTGATTTTAAGAACAACAACTCTCTGCATCCTTCCATGCAACAGTGAAGTTCAACACCACACAAATTATGTTTTTTTTCATATATCTTCTGAATACTGTAATAAAGAAATCTACATTAACAATTTCTCAGCCTTTGGAAAAGACTGTAGAAAACTTCATTTTTATCTCACTCAGATTTATCAAAATTATCATGTCAGATTTATTCAAAATACCAAAAACTGCTGGGGTGCATCTTTTATATAAATAGATTGCCTACTAGAGTTATGCTTGTAAGATCCCTTTTTAAAAGTGAAACTATTGTAGAAGTACGGTGTGCATGATTGTTGCATTCACTTAACTGTAATAAAGCAGATGTATTTGTCATCTATATTCCTTCCATCACCTACACACTTCTTTAGATACACAGTATTATTGCTAGGTTATTTAGGAACGAGCAATATTGCTTATGTTTTGGATACTAGCACTGAAGTAGTGTATACCAGAAAAGAAACACTATATAAACATCGCTAATAGCTTTAAGCAAGAGTATGCCTTTGCTTTTGCTCAAGACACTGGAAATGTATTGAATGTAGACCACGTTTTTTATGAAGTAACACATCAGCAAAGTATTGGACAAAGCTTTATTTGACACAGATTCTTTGTTTTGTGTTCTCTGCAACCTGAGAGAAAATTGATATTATTCTCTCCTTGCACTACTTCAGTGGTAACTCCAAATTACTGAGTTCTTACCAACCTCCTATCGTGGAGAAGTGTTTCTGTGGATCACAGTGTAATGTATCCAATCAAAAAGATAAACTTAGAACAATTCTCTGGGTATGAAATTTCACAGGTGTGTGTTTCATTCTTTGCATAACTAACCAAAACTTCTCCTAGGTCTGATATTTTTGAAGGGGAAAAAGTTTCAAGTATCCATTTAAAACTTAAATGTAACTGTTCTTTCATTATGCTGATGAGTTCATCAGTATGACATGAAAGACAAAATCCTTGGTCAGAGTATTTGGCAGCTGTTTCAAAAACAATAAAACAGTTCTTTCATTAAATGTAACACTCTTGGTGCCCACTCATCTTATCTCAAGATAAACATCTCCTAGTCATTTTTACACAGTTAACCATTTCTGAATAGTTTAATACATTGGATTAAGGAAAATGTACAAATTTCTGCATTTAAACTTCCTTTTAGCAAATCAGATTTACTTCTAATAAAACTATCTGATTTTACAAATTCAGCAAAGGTAAGGTTTTGTCTTCGTACCAGGAAGTCTGGATGCTGAATGTTCAATAACATAGTATTTTATCACTCCGCTGATAATAAAAGGAGTGTTATGCATAACTTCCTGCTGAAGCGTTATGGGAGACAGAACTAACACCTACATAAATGCAAATATGCTTCACAGTTTTAATCTGATACCCCACAGTATTCTACTTTGTGAGAGTGCATAATATTTTCATAAAGTTGGAAGGCAAGAAAAAATGCTGAACTGAATGGTTTCTTTTCACTTGCAGCATTTAGACATTTCTTGTCAATCAGTATGGTATTCTTAGGTCTCTATCACACACAGTAGCTAAGTGTGAATGGTAAAGATCAGACTGAGTGTAAGATTTTCAGGTATAAGTAACATGCAGAATTAAGTTGTTTTCATTCTTCAGTTCTGGTGATATGGTGAACAAAATCTCCCAGTTTAGTTCTGTAGATTAGATTCTAAGAATTTTCCTGGCTAATACATAAAGATACAGTAGATAAGAAGAAAGGCAGATCTGTCATGCTGTCAGAAATGTGGCAGTGGGAGTGAGGATCTTTGTGTTGATGTTGTGCTGATATTAGCTTGCTTCCATTTCCTGGAGCAAGATCCATAGTAGCACTGAAGGTTTCCAACTTTTAATTTGCTTGCAATAAAATGCCTATTTAATGAAAAATACTGCTTTTGTTTTCTTAATTTGATGAAGGAATTATTAATATATTTGACTAATAGGTGTTTCAAGTGTATCAGTATTTATATCTGACAAAATTAAATAGCTGGGCTATTATTAAATTTACCTTTCTGGAAGTTGTTTCTTCCATCAATAAAAAAGGGAGAAGGACAAGGGAGTTGGGTAGCTGGTACTGTGATAAATAATGTGAATTATCATTCTTAGCTGTCTGTCTGCAAAAAAGGAGACTGGATCCTTACTAACAAGGTAAACAAAATATATTTTGAGTGTTGTATTTTGAATCCATAATATTGTTTCCCCAATATGACATTCATTTCCCAGAAATAGTTATGGAAACAGGACCTGGCAGCTACCAGCTGATAGTCATTTCTAAAATCTGAAAACGTAAATGATTTCAAATTGTATTCTAGCCTTATTCAGAAAGTCACAATAAGGTAAAAGAGGGGGTGTATTTCATTAACATAAAATCTATTTCTGTCAATGGGAAGAAAATACAATGGAGATAGAGGTAATAACAAGCAACATCAGAATACTAACTGACCTTATGACACATTTCTGAGAGCCTAAACCAATCAAACTGAAAGTTAAAAATTTGTCATCCTGTAGTGGAGAACAAAAGGAGGACAATAAACATGTTGAAAAGGAACAATAGAATATATAGGTAGGGAATTTAAAGAATAGAAAATCATGGTTTCTTGTGTTATCAGAAACACTGTCTAAAATAGTCTAGACACATACTTTTGATATATCGTGGTCCAAATTTAAATATGTTTACAGAAAACACTTGTAGTCTGTTTCTGAAAGATTTACTCAGATTCTAACTTTACATTTTATGTATCTGACTTCCAGTATATAGAAAAAGCAGAGCATTCTAGCTTTACTGCTGTTGTAGTAGTAATCACTTGTAACCAAGGATGTTTATGTAGACTTACTTTTCATACCTCCTTCTACTTTCTCACCTGTAATGAATATGCATATAGTGTATATATTCATGTGTTTAATTTAAAATGTTTCATTTTTCCAGTATTTCAGTATTTTATTTAACTCATTTACTTTTCCTTTTCTTTTCTTTACTTTCTTGATGTTAAATCATCTATTCTGTTGCAGATGCTCTTCTCCATGTCTTGATCATGACAACAGCAGGTGAACTTCTGCATAATTTCTTTCTTTAATATGTTGCACCTCCCATCTGCCATATTTATCCTTCTCTCTTACCTCACTTCAGGCTGCTTTAGTGTTTTGATAGTGCACATTAGCCAAGAGAAAAAAAAACCCGCTCTGTCAATAACAGTTACTCAGCATACACTTTCTCCCATCTGCTGTTATGTCCTATATGAGAAAATGCTGGGCACATTACAGGTCTGCTGCAAACAGACCTTGTCAAACTTCCTATATATTTCTAATTTGTTTTAACCCTTGATTTAATTAACAGTAAATCTTCTTTATCATTGATATGGATGGATATTGTTAAAAGAAAGAAAAAAAAAAAAAACCAGCACAAAAAATGCAGCACAAACCACTGTAAATAGGTTTAGTATCAAATTTCATTTCACAAAGTGGGCTTTTTCTCTTCACTGTATAAAGAATGTTGCAGAATCACTTCCTAGGCCATATCTTCCAAGTGATGCCTCCCTGTTGAAACTAGTAGAATAACAGTGCTGCATTTGAAAGAGATGAAATTGGACTCCATAT